TCCAAAAGTGGTCCGACAATGGTGTGTTTTGTACATTTTGACTTGGAAATGTGCTTCGCGCCACAACGGCGTGCACTTTTGCGACATCGCAACTTCCAAAAGTGGTCCGGACCTGAGGTGTTTTGTGCATTTTGACTTGGAAATGTGCTTCGCGCCACAACGGCGTGCAATTTTTCATCTCTCATCTGGCCAGATGGCTCCGCACCCGCCACTTTAGCGAGCCTACTTTTCGACCCTCCGGAGCCACAAATCATTGGAAAAACACAATGTTTCGTGACTATCCTACCTTTTCACGCACCTGTATCTTCTTACTTCTGACTCTTTCTCTTCTCTGATCTTCTCTCTTCTGCTCTTCTCTTCTCTCTGCCTCTGCCCATGTCTGCTTTTCATCTGTGCATATTGTCGGAAGTTTGACTTCTAGACTTCCTTCGGCTATGGAAAATAATTACTTTACTTCGTGTGATCCCGACTCCCAACAAGACATTTATACATTTTCTTACTGGCAAATCTTCTGGCATTCTATCTGACATATCTTCTGGCATTCTATCTGGCATATCTTCTGGCAGATGTTCTGGCATATCTTCTGGCATTCTATCTGGCAAATCTTCTGGCATTCTATCTGGCATATCTTCTGGCATTCTATCTGACATATCTTCTGGCATTCTATCTGGCATATCTTCTGGCAGATGTTCTGGCATATCTTCTGGCATTGTATCTGGCATTCTATCTGGCATATCTTCTGGCAAATTATCTGGCAAATCTTCTGGGATTCTATCTGGCATATCTTGTGGCAGTCTATCTGATATTTATCTTGCATTCTATTTGGCATACCTTCTCGCATTCTATCTGGCATATCTTCTGGCATTCTATCTGGTAAATCTTCTGGCATTCTATCTGGCATATCTTCTGGCATTCTATTTGGCATATCTCACGGAATTTTATCTGGCATATCTTCTGGCATTCCATCTGACATTCTATCTGGCATATCTTCTGGCATTCTATCTGCCCGTTGAGGTCCAGCAGTGCACACTGAGCTGGGGAGGTCCCCGGTTGAGGTCCAGCGGTGCACACTGCGCTGGGCAAATCCCAGGTTGAGGTCCAGCGGTGCACAGTGGGCTGGGCAGGTCCCAGGTTGAGGTCCAGCGGTGCACACTGAGCTGAGACGGTCCCTGGTTGAGGTCCAGCGGTGCACACTGAGCTAGAGGTCCAGCGGTGCACACTGAGCTAGAGGTCCAGCGGTGCACACTGAGCTGGGCAGGTCCCAGGTTGAGGTCCCAGTGCACACTGAGCTGGGAAGTTGGCAAAGAGCTTGGCGAAGAGTTGGCAAGGCGGAAGTGGAGGTGGAAGTTGATGCAGACATGGTCGAGGAGAAACTAGAGGGGGAGGAGGAGGAGGAGAACAGCTCTGATAAAATCTAACAACCCTCACCTGGCAGGTGGGGAAAAAATGTTTGAAACCACCAACCAGCAATAAAACCATGTGTGTCCTTCTGATAGCACATACTTTTTTTTCCATTGAGATCTAAACTAAGAATAAACAATGCAATTAATTATAATTATAATTAATAGAAAGGAACCAGCAGTAACTAATGTGGCGGAGCCACTGGGCCGCGCAGGAGCGGCAGACGCGGTGCGCGGGCTCGTCGCGCTCGAGCGGAATGCAATGCTCATGAGCCAGATTGAAAATGAATCTCAGCCTCAGGAAGAAAGAAGCCTCTTCGGCTTCTTGACAGGAGTAGCCTTGCCTAGAAGGCACCCGAAGAAATTACTGACAATGTTCTTTCTCAGCGGCAGCAGCAAACCACTCAAGCTCTAGCTCATGTGCCTTTTGCTCTCTCCTTGCCTTGGTCGTCCATCCTCAAATTTGTGACGTTGAAGACTGTCTGACTTCTCCAGAGCCCTCTCCAGCGCCCCTCTGGATCAATGGTGGCTTTCCTGATCTGTGTCAAATTTTAATTGGAAGGTATAAGAAGGGTTTGTTGAAAACCAGGCACGCTGTTATACCCGTATATATCCTTATTCTATCTATACCTTTCCTTATTACCATTTGGCTTTGTCTGAAAATATGGGACCCCTAAATCCACTGTTTAATCATGATTTTCCCTATTTAAACTGTTGTTGTAGCAGGCTTCCACCATTTGCAACCCAAACAAACCCAAATAGGCCTGGTTGGATATATATTCAATATTATATATATACACCCTCTGGTAAACTAACATAATTATGGAAAATCACCATTTTCAATGGGTATATCAACTATAAATGGTCATTTTCAATAGCTAGGTTTCAATAGCTATGTTTGTTTTCAATATTACTGGTTGGTGGTTTCAACCCCTCTAACAAATATTAGTCAGTTGGGATTATTATTCCCAATATATATATATATATATATATATATATATGGAAAAATAAAATTCATGTTCCAAACCACCAACCAGATTGTACATATATATATATATACATATATCCCCAAGTACAGTAAATCTGTGACAATTCATGAAATTCCAATCTTATCTGGAGGTTCGCCTACCAGACTTCGGGGCACCGTATCAGAATCATATGAGTCGTTGCTTAGGTTGGGAATTGAACCCATTCAAAACCGTAAAAAATCGTCATCAAATCCTCATATATCTCCACTAAATCCCATTATGGATATATGATCAACATTCCAGAGAATCTTCCAAATCTAATCGATGATCTCCCCAAATTTAAACGCTCCAAGAAGCCACTTTCTCATGCATCAAACTGGCACCGTGCTCGTAATAATCATCGATGGACATCCAAAGGTCCTCCAAGGAAGATCCAAGTGAGCATTGGATCCATTGGATACAGGTAGCTGTCAAATGCATACCCTCTGGTAAACGTTTACATAACTATGGAAAGATCCACGATTTTTAATGGATAAATCAACCGTTTCTATGGTCATTTTCAATAGCAAACTGTTAAATTACCAGAGGGTAGTGGGGGATAAGTGTCATAATGAATGTTTTTAAAACCTTAATGGGGGATAAGTAATATAATTAACTATAGCATAAACTGAGTTTTGGGATAATTGTTATAATGAACTATAGCATTAGCTGACCGGGGACAAATGTTATAACTTATAACTGGCTGCTTAATGTTAAGAAACAATAATTCATTCTTTTCATATGTTGTAATTAACTGTTTAAGAAACACCATTGTTATAATAGTTACTAGAAAAGATACTAGAAACATGTCTAATGTTATATGTTTATTGACAACAATTGGGGATGGTGGTACAACCCTTGCTATATAATTCCCTCTGGTAACCAAACGTGGCTGGCTGAGAAATCCCCTAATGGAGGTGCGTAGCTTGGAAAATCATCTATTAAACTTATGAAACGGTTCATTTTCCAGCAAGGAGGGTAGTAACCGTGTAGAACATGTTCGAGACCGCTCTTGAACTATTACATGTTTATAATCCCAAAATAGTCCCATTTAATTATAAAACACATGAAACAGTGGGTGCATCATTCGAATACACCCAGTTTTCTAGCATTTTGGGTGTAGTTCATCACCATAAGCCGGCCTGTACAAAGATGTTACACCCAACCATCATTCTTGTGGATGATATCCCTGTTTCACCGATTTTTTGCCAGACTACCAGCCCAATCGTGGCCAGTAGCAAACATCACAGCATGTCAGCACAAGTGATTGGATTACTCAAGCTGCAGAATGAATGAAAAAAAAACCTTTCATAGATCCAAAACTGGATTATATCACCTATCATAGATCCAAGCACAAGCTGCAGATTTCATGTGAAGCCATCTTGGCCTTTTTTTTGGGGGGGGGCGGCCTTTAGGGGGCTGTGATACTTCAGCCCCCATCAGGCCGCCATCTTGGCATCACCTTCAGGGTCGACTGGTCGACCCTTGAATCCACATTTTTTTTTGAAAAATTCCATATCCCTATGATAGGTGATATAATCTGATTTAATGTATATATATACTATAACATACTGCCCAATCATTTTTATATTTCCATATCCTTCATCTTTTTGAGAAATTGACCCAGGTTTCTCCCAAACATATTCCAGCAATAAGTCAGCTGGGCAAATTATAGTTCTGTTACCCTCTGGTAAACTAACATAGCTATTGAAAATGGTCATTTATAGTGAGTTTTCCCATTAAAGATGGTGATTTTCCATAGCTATGTTAGTTTACCAGAGGGTAACCATAAAATAACCAGACAGTTCCATGTTCCAGGAAGGGCTCCCCAGTTGTCTAGCATAAATCCTACTTTGCCTAAGGTGTACGCCAACTTACTTATCGTTTGGGGGCCTTCATAACATCTTTCCAGCAATCTTCAAAAAATAGCCATAAGGTTCCATGCGCTGCACCTATATATATATATTATACACCCAATGAACAGTGTTCCAAACAGTTTGTCATTCCGATTAATATGGATTCCCAGCTCACGGATTATCATCCCCGATTGCGTAGCTGAAAACCCCTCAACCAATCATCTTCCTCATCAATTCTAACCCCATATTTCTCATGGGTAAACACCCTACAAACATTGCCAACCTTAGATACCCTGCAAAAAAATATCTTTGCTGATGAACGTAGATATTCCCATTGATGCCAAAAGACTAGTTAGGATTAAAGTTTCCATCTAAGATTGACCTAGTTAATAGTAATTAATCATGATTTAATAATAGTTGGTCATGATTAATAATGATTTAATCATGGTTAATAGTGTGACTATAGTAATGGTTAATAACCCCCAATATGTATTTATGTTCCATTATTAATCACTAATAATCACTAATAATCATTATTAATCACTATTAATCACTATTAGCCATGGCTAACATCTAAAATCAGCCCATCCAATATGTATTTATGTTCCATGATTAGTCACTATTAATCCCATTATTAATCATTATTAACATTATTAACAGCGCTGTTGATATTATTAACCATTATTAATAGTGACTATAGTAATGGTTAATATGACCTAGCAAATGATTATCAGCCCTCGATTCAGCCACCAAAAAACTTGGATTTGCTGATCCGATCGCAGAAATGGACTGTGGATTTCTCCTCGTGTGAAAATACCAAAAAAAACATCGACACACCAAAACAAGCCAGGTGAAATACCATTAAACTTCTAGTGAGATATATATGGTGAATTTATAGGTATAATTATATAGTTTCAGTTTCATATATAATTCATACCTATAAAACTGAAACTATGGTGAATTCCAGTGATCTGATCCGGTGATATAACGTATATATGTATACATAGTCCCCATTAAATATCATTAAACTATAGTGAAGTCCAGGATGATCATTAACTAACACTGGCGTTTAATAATGATCATCAGCACTATAGGGATTCTGTCTATAGTTCAGTAGTGGTGCATCCCGATTATCAAACTATAGGCTTAAACTATGATAAAAATCATGCAAAACTATAGTGGAATCCACGGTGATCATCAATCAACACAAAGGTGATTTATGAATATGTACATATAATCCCTATGGATTTGTTATATATATAATTATATATAATCCCAACATGTTCATTTATGGAGTTATCAACTTACTTGTGCTTAGTAGGGAATTTTCGGGAATGATCTACAATAACTATCAATAAGCCCCCATTCCATCCATTCCCTACGTTTAGCACCAATAAGTCAAAGGTGATGTATAATAATCCCTATGATAGGTGATAAAATCTGACTTAATGTGTATATATATACTATAACATACTGCCGAATAATTTTTTATATAATATCATTTATTTATGGAGTTATTAAAGGTGAACATAGGGATTATATATATGATATATAACATATAACTGGGATTAATCCCTATTATAATTTACATAATATAATCCCTATAATAACTGGGTGGTGGTTTTAACCATCTTGAAAAAGTGATGGAGTTCGTCAATGGGGTTGGGATGACATCCCATATATGAAATGGAAAATAATCCAAATGTTTGAAGCCACCAGCCAGATAACATTGCCAATCTTAGATACCCTGCAAAAAATGACAAATTCTTTGCTGGTGAACGTAGATATTCCCATTGATACCAAAAGACTAGTTAGGATTAGTTTGTATCCATGTAAGATTGACCTAGTTAATAGTCATTAATCATGATTTAATAATAGTTGGTCATGATTAATAATGATTTAATCATGGTTAATAAAGTGACTAATAATGGTTAATAACCCCCAATATGTATTTATGTTCCATTATTAATCACTAATAATCACTAATAATCATTATTAATCACTATTAATCACTATTAGCCATGGCTAACATCTAAAATCAGCCCATTTATGTCCCATTTTTCCCATGATAATCCCAACAGCGCTTTTTGAAGACCCAACAGCGATGACCACCTCTTGCATCTCGCGCAAGCTGGCAAAGACTTGACCGCCAGCCCACACAGCACCTAGCTTTGCGCAACCGCATCTAGGGCTCTAAGCATAGTTAATGAACATATGGTGGGCTATAACCAACGGAAATCATGGGTTCACCTGAAATTATATAGGATTTCATGGGAAACTGAGAAAATCATGGTTCAATGAGACTTTTTGTTGGATGTTTTCATGGGATTTTAGGGGGCTTACTGGGATTTTGTGGGACTTAATGGGATTTAATGGAATTGAAGTGGGATTTGATTGGGATATTAGTGTCTCAAATTTACAATTAGTGATCTAAACGTACCCAATTATTCTTTGGTTTTAAACAATATTGACAGCTTGTACTTCAGAAAAAGGAAACAGTAGGATAACTTTTTTGAATGCGAATATATGGACTAGGAATATTGCCGAATACGAATGTCACACATGTTTTGGTCTTCTTTAGATTATTATTTTTTCATGGCTGTTCGATGCGTCTGGGGTTACCTGTGAGCATGATTTTGCTGTCCCAAGTGAGTGTATGCGCCCAAATTTGGATAGTTAATACTCTACAAGACATTGCCAACCTGCAAGCGACAAGTTAGTCATGTTGTTTCGATCGGCATCAACTGTTTCACCCCATGGTTTAGCCTCTTTCAAAACATGATAAATGTCCATCTCTCGCCATTGCCTTGATTTTTCACTAAATTCCAGGGAAAGAATTCGCCACACAGAATTCATGAACGTGCTACTAGTTGCTTGGGGGTACCATGAGATATCTCACTATCTCCATGCCAATGACCTTACACCAGTCATTACGTGGGAGTGCAGCTCCAGTTGTAAATGGATATTTCCAACCATTGTCATTGGGATCCCAATTTATGAGCTTTACCCTCTGGTTATTTACCATAGCCATGGTATAGATGGCCCATAGAAATAGATGGTTTACCTGGGTTTACCTATTAAAAAAATGGTGGATCTTTCCATGGCGAACTGTTAAATAACCAGAGGGTAATCATTTGGTGTTTACCCATGAGAAATATGGGCTTAGAATTGATGATTGATGATTGGTTGAGGGGGTTATAAATGGATATAACGCCATTGTCATTGGGATCCCAATTTATGAGCTTTACCCTCTGGTTATTTACCATAGCCATGGTATAGATGGCCCATAGAAATAGATGGTTTACCTGGGTTTACCTATTAAAAAAATGGTGGATCTTTCCATGGCGAACTGTTAAATAACCAGAGGGTAATCATTTGGTGTTTACCCATGAGAAATATGGGCTTAGAATTGATGATTGATGATTGGTTGAGGGGGTTATAAATGGATATAACGCCATTGTCATTGGGATCCCAATTTATGAGCTTTACCCTCTGGTTATTTACCATAGCCATGGTATAGATGGCCCATAGAAATAGATGGTTTACCTGGGTTTACCTATTAAAAAAATGGTGGATCTTTCCATGGCGAACTGTTAAATAACCAGAGGGTAATCATTTGGTGTTTACCCATGAGAAATATGGGCTTAGAATTGATGATTGATGATTGGTTGAGGGGGTTATAAATGGATATAACGCCATTGTCATTGGGATCCCAATTTATGAGCTTTATTTCACCCTGGCTATACCCATGTACTCCACCCCAAACTGAACTCCACTCGTGTTTTCAGATCACGTTCATGGATCACACTGTGTACGTCCCTCGGTGACAACATCTTCGAATCCACAACTTCTTGTGGCCTATTTCCTCATTGTTTTCATAGCCAATTCTAGATCTCCTGCATGTTTCAAACAGCTGGATGGTATGTATGTATAATCATCCTGAAATGGATAGAAGATAGGATTTTTCAAACAAACTCACATGTTTGTGAGGGTTTTTGGGCGTTTCCATATTCAATCTACTCCAAAATGACTATATTATATACATATATACACATATCAGATGACACGCAGTTACCAGTCCATGAAATCGAGTTGTGGAACAGGTTTAAACATAGGTTCTGGGGGGGACGCTCTGCATACATATACATATGTACCTAATGTAATGTAGTGTAATGTAATGTATGTATACCGTAGCAACAGATTGACGCACTAAACTATGCAAGGTTGATCCAGTGATGATGAATTTATCTATTTATTAATGTCAATCCCAGTTTCAATACTTAAATCCCATTTTTTTAAATCAATGGGAGATCTTCAGGATCCTAAAATGGAGGTACTGTACCATATAAGGCTATATTTTCTAGGGATATTCCCTTACATAGGCCTTACATAGGCCTTATATATGGTAGGTACCTCCATTTTAGGATCCTGAAATGGCCATTGATTAAAGGTTAACTGCCAACGTTCAAAGGGCTTCAATCCCAATTCTTCTTGGTCCAAGCACTTCAGGTTTGAATCGCAAAAGTTCAGGTGAACCCATGATTTCCGTTGGTAGTAACCCACCAAAGGGCTGATTAACTGCCAATGAATCTCCATCAAAACCATTTTTTTTTCAGTTGTGCTCAGTGAAACCATGTAACACCCCATCACAAATGCCCATATTTGAGTTTAACTATGGGGACATGTGAGTTTCATGCAGTTTATCCCAAGATTTTTCCATTATCCTCATAGAATCCCTATACAATCCCATTCAATCATTATCTTGGTTAGAAACCCATTAAATCACCATTCAAATCGCATCCAACCCTCATTCAATCACCGAATCCTCAGGGGCAACTCCGCGGCTATTAGTAGCTTCAAAAAAAACCATCATAAACCCATTAACTATTTAACTATAGTTCTAAACTATTATAGGCCCATATAACCCTTAAATCACCATATCTTCATGCTCTTCACCGCCGATTTTGTCGGATTTCTACAGGGATTTCTACAGGATTTCTATGGGATATAACCAAATAATATGGAAAATAATGGGATTTCTATGATATTTTGAATGGTTTCTTCATATTCAACACCCATACATAGTTATATAACCATTATAAACCCATATAATAACATGGTGATTTTCAATAGCTTTTTGATGCTCTTTGTATGAACAAAGCAGAGGGGTAACTATTCAATGGCCATTCCAGGATCCCAAATTGGAGGTACTGTACCATATAAGGCCATATTTTGTGGGGATATTCCCTTACATAGGCCTAAGAAATAGGCCTTACATATGGTAGGTACCTCCAATCAATCGGTTCCTGGAATTCCCCCCCATTGATATAACCATTGGTTTATAAACCCCATTCACTATAGAATTATAGATATATTACCTAAAAACCATAGTTATTATAATATACCCAGAACTTGGTTAATCCCATCTATCATCATAGAAACCTGTTGTTAAAGGGATAAACAAACCCCCTCTATTAATCAACCAATGGGAATTTGGGACATCTATGTGGTAACTATGGTTTCTTACCAACGCCGAGGCGCTAATCTGATCTTTGCTCTTCAGCACCCGGATGTCGCATTGCGCCGCCACAGGCGCATAATTCTTCAGCTCTTTGGTGAGGCGTTCACCTGGGAGTCGTAAAATGTGAATGGATTGGTTTTGTTGGGAAAATCTTAACCGGAAACCATGGTTTTTACCATCATATATAGGGGCGGAAACCATTGTTTTTACCATTAAGATCATGGGGCTTTCCTGTAAATTTTCCCATCATCCAGTTCTATGATCATGGGAATTTCCATTGGGATTTCATGAGTTAAGCTATGGCAGCGATTTTTTTAGGTGCTGCTAGTTGGTTTACCTATAAAACATGACATTTCATACAATGTGAGGCCCCCAGTCGATAGCTAAGTTGGTTTATAACTCCAATAACTATGGTTTATAGTACTTATAACTATAGTTATTGGGGCGAATCTAAACCAACAAACATCACTGGGGGGCCTCACATTTCACAGGGTTTAAGGGAACATCCCATTTTCATAGGCTTTCCATGAAAATTTCAGAAAATTTGCTGGATTTCCCGATTCGGTTTTGTGGAAAGTCAATGGAAAAGTCCAGAAATTCATGTGAGTTACCCTCTCGTAAACTAACAGTTTGCGAACTTGAAAATGGCCATAGAAATAGTGGATTTACCCATAAAAAATGGTGGATCTTTCCATAGTTTTTTGTTAACGTTTACCGGAGGGTAGGTGGGAAATATACTCTATCAATGATAGGAACGAAGGGAACATCTACAGTTGAACTTTCTGGGTAAATTAGTTCATATTTCACTAATATAATTTTCCCAGATATATAGTTCAATATAATTCCCCCAAAAAATATATTATAATTTCCCCAATATTATAATTATCCCAATATGTATTTCACTAACTTGAAATAAGGCTAATATTGGGATACCCTCTGGTAAACTGCTATGGAAAATCACTATTCTTAATGGGTAAATCTATTATAAATGGGCCATTTTCAATAGCTATGTTAGTTTACCAGAGGGTAATTCCCCTATACATTCACCATGATTCCAATGACCTCGCAAAGAGCTGGTTTTTTCTCGGGATTTCCGGCTTCATTTTCCCATACCCTGGGAGATGTGGATGACTAGTCCTTAAAAATTGTGGTTGTAGGCATGTGTACAAAAAACAAAAAAAAATATATACTTATGTGGATAAACCAACAGAATATATATATATATAGTAAATGAGCAGGGCACATTCAAACAATGCAGCAGCTTGTATAAAGAGGGTAACAGACCATTCCGTCTTGCAAAGGCCGATGAAATGTGTCAGCACAAACGTTGCGATGCTTCGGGTCTTCAGCTGAAGAAAGTTGAAGCCTTGCCAGTTGCGCAAACGGCATTGATTTCTGCAACGAAAATCCCTTTGCCCGAAATGTACTCATAGTTCTTTCGAACAGCTAGAGCCTTCTCCAGATTGTCGATCTTCATCTCAGTGTCTTTCACGCCAACCATAGAACCAGGACATACCAGGACGAAATATACATTTCTACATAAATAGACATAGTACATATACCATCTGGCTATTTAACATAGCCATGGAAAATCACCATTTTTAATAGGTAAACCCAGGTAAACCATCTATAAATGGGCCATTTTCCATGGCTATGTTAAATAACCAGAGGGTAAATACATAAGACTCTTGTAGCCGACTCCGGCACAACACGGAAAAAAACGAAGATGTGAAGATTTCAGCGTTTTTTTGCTACAGGGAAAGAGACTGATAAAAATGGCAAGCTCCAGAACTTAAAACATATGGAGGTTTCCTAAAATAGGGGTACCCCCAAATCATCCATTTATAGATGGATTTTCCCTTATAAACCATCCAGCTATGGGTACCCTCAATTATGGAACCCCCCATATAATGTGCTACTGAACTATACTAAACTATACTAAACTGACATCCTCCATCAGCATGTCAGTGACAAAGTTGGCAACTCAAAGTGTGGTATTTGTTTGGACCCACAAATTCACCGGTCATGCTTGGGATTTTGCTCAACAAACGACTTCTTTGCTCAACAATTTTGGGCCATACCCATCTCACTAGGGTGTTTGCTATGGTTAAACATGCCCACAACCCTCTTGTTGCTCCGAAAATGGCACCAAAGGAAAACTCATGGCTACAGAGGGGGCATTGATTGACGCCGCATCTCATTCATCAGCTAGATATAGCTAGATCATATGGATCAAACATCCCACTACATCAAATTTGGTATCTCAAAAATGTGACAGCACAAGATAGGGATGACCATGTATCTCCATTAAATGTGGATTTACATCGGATCTACCTCCAAGAATAGCCAAGAAATTCAGTTGGCCATCATAGTTGGGAACGTGATAATTCAGCAACAGTCACACGTTTTCAAAAGTTGGTTTCGAAAAATATCACCATTAGATCTTCATTGTGTCATCAATGATTATTCTCCATTCACATCACATTACCCTTCGATTCATGGCAAAATCCCCTATGTTCGTCGATTCCCCCATGAAGTGCGATGATTCCAGTTGTCCTCCAAGAATGGCGGAATTCCCTGAATATAGATGGTTACCCTCTGGTAATTTAACGTAGCTATTGAAAATGGCCATTTATAGTGGATTTTCCCATTAGAAATGGTGATTTTCCATAGCTATGTTAGTTTACCAGAGGGTATGTTATATCCACCATATTCCCCATGATATCCCCCATGATATTCTCAAATCTCCATCTAAATCCCACGAAATCCCCATCTAAATCCCCATCTACCCTCTGGTAAACATACAAACAACTATGGAAAGATCCACCATGCTATCAATGGGTAAATCCACTATTTCGACAGGACCATTTTCTATGTCGCTATTTTGACATAACCAGAGGCTAAATCCGTGAAATCCTCTATCATCAATGGCTCGTAGTCCCGTCGGATGATTCCGACCGGTGAATTTCGACCGGTGCTGCGTCTTGCATCCAAGCAGCTGAATCCTGGAAACATGGTGCAACCTGCGGGAAACGTGTCAAGAAACGTGTCAAGATACGTCAAACTCGCAGTTGTAGCTGTTGGAGCTTGAAATTTCATGGAAATTACGACATGATTTTTCATGATATGTTATATGATATATGATATATGGTATATGAGGATTGACTATGAATCAAAGCTTATGATATTCATTGAAGATTGAACATGATATATCAATATATATATAGATATCATGATAAAATAATGTCACGGGGACCAACAGTTGACCACCACTTAATTTGAGGATTCACCATGATATATTACAAGGTGAGGCCCCCCAATTATGTTTGTCAGTTTCTTAAGTCATAACATATCATGAATACTATAGTTATATCCCCCCTAAACACTAGTTACCCACTGGTTATTTAACATAGCCATGGAAAACCACCATTTTTAATAGGTAAACAATCTCTATAGTTATATCCCTCCTAAACATGGCTATTTATAGTGGATTTTCCCATTAAAAATGGTGATTTTCCATAGTTATGTTAAATTACCAGAGGGTATATTCCCCTAATCCACCATAGAAATCACCAAGTTAAAAGTCAACTTAGCTAGGGGGGCCTCACCTTGTAGTCCTACTATATTAAGTTGGTGAAATATTTCCCATGGCGAACTGCTAAATAGCCGTAAATTTGATGATTTAGGGGTACCTCTATCTTAGGGAACCACCAATCAGTTGAATTGTGGGGATATTTCAATCAGTTTCAATATATATATAGTATTTTATAATATAGCCATAGATCTGGGTAAATTATATTATTGAAACGGGTATCATTTTTGTATTGGTAAATTATAGTATTTCACTCACCTGAATCTTGCGGCCAAAAAAGGGGATGATTCCAGGATTCGGTCGAACAGGCTTCCAGGCTTCGGTCGTGATTTTTTTAGATCCCATAGCGATGACATTTCCCATCATTTTCCATTAAGCTTGGCGGATTAATCCATGTTAATCCTATAGCAAAGCCCAACCCTGGGATAAGAGCTGGACCACAGGACTGGAAGAATTCATGACGCTTACAGACACCATCTTTTTAGCATCCTGGAACACTTTGAATTTTTGTTTGAGATACCTTATTTTTGTGTATTTTTGGAACGCTTGCTGAATCACAATCAGTCACCAAGCTGAACTAAGATAGAACCATTTTCGCACATCCAAATCCGTCATCTACGGTAAAAAAACAGAAACACCGCTGGATTTTTTGTCAAACTCAGAACCATAGTGATAGACACCATGCCTCGGTGTGTAAGCAATAAACAGTAGTGGTTTCCTCAACAACTCTTTGGACGGTCAGCATGGATCATGTTTCACGCAGCGAGGGAAGCAGCGGTTCGCCATGGCTAGCTTCCGCATCCCTTTTTGTAGGATTACATTGAGATCCCGATCTGCGATACCCTGCAAAAACAGATTTGTTTTGCTGGTTAGCATGTATGTTCATGTACCTTCTGGTAAACTAACATAGCTATGGAAAATCACCATTTTTTATGGGACAATACGCTATAAATGGCCATTTTCAATAGCTATGTTAAATTACCAGAGGGTATTTGATGTATATATGACAAAAGATAGCATAGATTGCTCTCGCAGTCAGCGTCATCCCCATCAGCGACTGAACCAAATCTCGCCGATGGAGAGGGAGTAACCATCTTGATAGATTACCCTCTGGCAATGACTAACAGTTTGGTAACAGCCCATCTATAGATTATTTACCTATGAAACATGGTGATTTTCAATAGCAATGTTAAATTTCCAGAGGGTTTTTTGTCGGAGTCTCAAGTGTGTGGATTGAATCTGATATGCTTCCAATCGACACAGATTACCAACTCCCAAACAATTTCAGGGATGAGATTCTTAGAACGATTCAACAGCGCTTTCAAATTTTCAAGCCATGGTTACCCTCTGGTAAACATACAAAAAACTATGGACAACCACCATTTTTAATGGATAAATCCACTATTTCTATGGCCATTCTCAAGTTCGCAAACTGTTAGTTTCTCAATTGTACAGTGGACATGGAAAGAAATCCGTTGATATTATCCCATCCCCCTTGTATTATATACCGTTAAATACCACCTATGGTCCTCCGAAATGAATAGATTCCATTACTAAACAGAGGAACTATTATATCCCATTAGTTGATTATACTAGTATCATTTTACCATTAATTTTCCATAGTAGGTTCCTTCCAATACTAAATGATGAAGTAAAAATACCATCATCCCATCTTATACTAGTTGATTCATAGGTTTCCCTATGGCCAAAATCATCCCCAATAAAGATTTGTTAGTGATCTAGTCCCTAAAAATAAACAAATCAACCAAAGGATTTTTCATGGTGCATCGAAATTACTTGGAGGTGCATCGCCGTTTGTACATACGTTCACTTGGGGGCCACACAACTCCAATTTCACTCTGGTCAATGGATTGGTTTAGGGGAACATTTACAGGACAACCCCATATTTAATGGTAAAAACCATGGTTTCCTGTAAATTTTTCCCTAAACCAATCCATTGATATGGTTTATGGGTGATATATCGAACTGGTTCACGGGGTTTATATACCAATAGACATAAGGTTTGGGGAGCACCACCTTGTAGGCAATAACTATAGGCTTTTTAAGCCAGCTGCATGTGGGATTTACGTGAGTTCTACATGGTTTATTAACCATCTAGTTGCTTGGGATGTGAATGGATATGACTATAACTAGAGCTAGTTGGCTTTGTACCCTCTGCAACTAAAAGTTTGCTATAGAAACTAACCATTGAAATAGTTGATTTATCTATGAAAGATGGTGATATTCCATAGCTATGTTAGTTTACCAGAGGGTAATCCCAAATGCCATACATCCAATGGTTACGATATTCATAAATCATTTTCTCTTGGTGATATGTCCAATTATACCCCATCATACCATCATATTGCTCATCAAATCCCATTACATCTATTTCTCAAGTGAGCCAATGGTTGGTTATATATATATATGTTTTTACTTTTATCCCCATTCAATTCCCATGAAACCCCTATTGAATCCCATTAAACCACCATTTATAATCATTTATAGATATTTGATGTGTCATTTTGTTTGAGAAGTAAGTAACTGTGTTCGCCCAATGCAAATCATAGTGTACAGGTTTCATTTAAATCATATGGTTTCCACAAAAACTATGATTAGAATGAAACCTGTACACTATGATCTAAATGTACTATTCTAAACTATGTACAGGTTTGATTTAAATCATTTGGTTTCCACAAAACTCAATCCCATTAATCACCATTTACAAATATTTCAGCAAATGTAAATCATTTGGTTTCCCATCGTTTCCGAAAAAAAAACACATGAGATATGTATTTCTTCCCCCAAGTCGACGGCCATGCAACAGGGACCGTAAATATGGCCTGAGATTCCCATCACCGAAAAAATAACTCCATAAATGAACATGTTGGGATTATATATATATATATGTATATGTATAACAAATCCATAGGGTTTATATGTAATTACTAAAACATCCATATAGATGATGCTTAAATCTAAAAACTGCTTGGTGGTTGACCTACCCCTCTGAAAAATATGACGAACCGTCAGTTGGGATGATGAAATTCCCAATATATGGAAAGTTATAAAATTGCTGTTCCAAACCACCAACCAGTATTGGGTTTATAAAATTGGTTTATCCAATAACTATGGTTTATAAATCCAAGAAGCCCATGGGAAATGGTCAGTTTTGGGTTAGTTCCAAACCACCAACCAGTAATATATATATATACCCTGGATATCTAACATAGCTATGGTATAGATGGCCCATTTATAGATGGTTTACCTATTAAAAATTGTGGATCTTTCCATGGCGAACTGTTAAATAACCAGATGGTAATATATATATATATATATATACACCAGATTAAATATAGTTATAAACCATTATAGTTATAAGCCATTATAAACCATTATAAACCATTATATACCAGATTAACTATAGTTATAAACCATGATAAACCCACATAACCATTAAATCACCATCTATTTCTTCTGCCAACGAAACCATGACTGCCATGATCAAAGGGATGGCCTCCCGAAAGAACCACGTTGGCCATCAAGGTTTTGCGGATGTCGACTTCACATCTGCTGATGCCTGCGGAGCAGCTGTCCGTCAAAAAAAACATGGGGACTGGATGCATAGGGAAATCATCTGGGAAATCATAGGGAAATATCATGGATTAATGGGATGTGATTGAGATTTACCCTCTGGTAATGACTGTTACACTTTGCGAACTTGAAAATTGCCATAGAAATAGTTGATTTACCTATTAATAGCATGGTGGATCTTTCCATGGTTTTTTGTTAACGTTTACCAGAGGGTAATTCTCACGGAAAATCAGTAAGAACATCACCATCTGTAAAACATCAACGGGCAATTTTCCATCGCTATGTAACTGGATGAGTCATTGAGATCCGTCAATATATATCCGGTCATATCGCCTAGCAATTAACACTGGCCATCTCAGGAACCGAGAACACTTGGAGGTACCTAGCATATATAAGGCCTATGTTTCAGGGCTATGTAAGGGGGCCAAAGTCTGGTACAGTACCTCCATTTTAGGATCCTGGAATTCCCATTGAAATTATAGGTTATATTGCGCTATGACCCAGCTATGAAGCAATTTACTAACTCCATGGCCCATCTACCTTTGGGAAAATATACATAGAATTTACATCATATTAATCATACATATCCTATTTGTAGTATGATGTGCACAATGACAATGACAATACCATATGATGATTAAACATCATATCATAATTTCTATAGATATCCTCCAACTAGCAAAGACCCTACCATTTCAGGGGTTGGAAGACAACCTAATTAAGTCTATGCTCGCCAAGATGGAACTCTTTCTGCAAAACTTGGATCACAACAGAACCCGAGTTGGATGAGATGTGGCAGAGCTCCTCCTCAGTGGTGTTTGTACATATACCAGTACTATGTGACAGTCTGTTGATTATGTAACCATCCTGTATGAACCTGTCGATCGGATCGTCTGTGACAAACTCATGCTAGTTCAAAACCTCTCTGCAGGAGTAGGGCAAGAGGTTACCACTCGAGAAATAGCAGAGCCCATCGTCGACAACAAGTTTCATCACAGGGGTGGTGATCTTGTAGTGAACCTTGTCAGGTTTTGATGGTCACCCAATCGAGGAGCATCCTGTGTCAATATCCTCCTCGGCATCCCTGTAGGTCTTGTACGTCTTGCACAACCATTGGACAGGACCAAGGGAACCAAATACAGCGATGGCACCAACTCTTGTATCTGACACAGATAGGAGTGTATCATAGCCCACGTCTCTATTGTTTCCCAGCATATCTATTTCCAAATTTTTCTAAAGACCTGATGAAGCCTCCCTGATGAAGCCTCCCGCCACATAGATACATACCTCGCCCACACTTGATCCGATTTTTACACTTTCAAACCTACAAATAAGGATCATGTGGGTTCTTTGTTCATTGAATCCCAAGTCTAGTAAAAAATCACAGTTCCAGACGAAGTCACTCTTCTTCTTTCTGGAAGCCCCTGATCTTTTTCTCCCAAATCTCAGTTTTTCATGATTGAATCAACAAATTTTGGTCATCATTCATCAATTGCAAGTCGATCCACCATTGGAAATCCAAGAACACCAACGGGAGACCGGCTGCGGTTCGGCCGATGGTATGGAAGACCACCACGTTTTGTCGTTTTTGGTCTCAAAAACAGCAGAAACAATTACACTATTTTGGGATGATTGAATCCACATGTTTTGAATGATTATATGTATATATATATATAATCCAAATCTGGTTGGTGGTTTCAACCCCTCTGAAAAATAGTAGTCAGTTGGGATGATGAAATTCCCAATATATGAAAAAATAAAACATGTTCCAAACCACCAACCAGCAAATATCTGTTGAAGATTGTCCCCAATATTTGCGCGATGTTCAATAATTAGGGCATTTACCAAGCCCCGCCCAACCTCCAGGTGTGCTGCAGAAACTGACAAGGAATGATTCTGATACACAAATGGTACCCACCCAATTAAACAGCCGTTTGGGGTTGATTAATCCGGGGTTGACATTATATATAAATCCAAATGTTCAACATATTGTTTTTTTAGTTGTTCGTTCTATCATGTTAAATCAGCATTTTTGTTGGATAAATATCCAGTTTCCGGCCTTTTTTTTCCAGATATCTCTGAAGAGTTCTGCCATGTTGGGATTCCCCCGGATTCCTCACCAAAACCGGCCGTAGACGATGATGCTTAAATCTACCCTCTGGTTATGTCAAAATAGCTATTGAAAATGGCCATTTATAGTGGATTTACCCATCATAAATTGTGATTTTCCATAGTTTTTTGTATGTTTACCGGAGGGTAAAAGAAATGACATCTCACAACTAAAAATCGATTGCATTTCCCGATTTATAGTGGTGGTGAAAAAGGGAACACCCTCAGCCAGATTTTGGCCATGAAATTTTTGGAGGTTTCCAATGTCAATTTTTCAGTAAACTGAATGAGAATATTGAGATTTGAATGCTAAATATGTATACCATTTCTGTTGGTTACCCTCTGGTAAACTAACATAGCTATGAAAATCACAATTTTCAAGGGGTAAATCCACTATAAATGGCCATTTTCAATAGCAAACTGTTTGTTTACCAGAGGGTAAATCCCCATCACATCCCATTAATCCAGTATATCCGCATCTTTGATATGTCAACGGTCGGCTTAAAAAGGGCGGAGCTCGACTGGGCTGCCGCGCTGTCCCAGACCATGCCAGCCACACCCGCACATTCCTCAGAGATGGAAGCTGTTTTTGACACAAAAAACAAGGTGGAAACAAACAGTTTGACTTTGCTTTGGTATATATATGGTGCATATTATATATAGACATTGACAAATGCTCAAACCCCTCCCCCCTCAAACCCCCATTCCCTAGCAAGAAGTTCCCAATAGTTCCTACTTCACCGTGATGCCTCTTTGCAATTCAAGCTTGGCGACATAGCTTTGCAAAGTATGCAAAGTAATTTGACAACAATTCCCAAGCCACATAGGGAGAGCCACCCAAAAAAACAAAAGTAAGAATCAAACCATGTAAGTTGGGATTCCACATGGCTGTTAATTTGGATTCTTTCTTCGGGCATGAGTCTGGTTTGACCTTTGTTTTGTAGGGTTTGGGTTCATTCGTTTTTCAGAATTGGAGAAAAACACAAATCTGGCATACTACCCAAACCTCGAATCCACAAACAATTACTAGACGTTGACAATTCCAGTAAAACGTTGGCAAACCCACAAATCCAGCAAAATCTTCAATTTCTACGCTGATTTTATGTCGGCTGACCTCCATTTGACCTGTCAATTTCTATTGGGGGATGATCTCAGCTCCCGCCCCCCCCACTTGGATGCGCATCCTACTGAGTTTTTGGAATTTTTGGATGGTAGCCTATTTCAAACAACATCAGCAATTGCTATGTTCCTACAGAAAAATGGACTGAACCATACTGAATGGTGAGGCCAATTTTGCCACCAAAATCTGCTTGGGTCTCGGGTAATTCAAGTGTTTGCTATGGAAGCCCCATGAATCTAGTAACAATGGAGATGTTCCATTGTTCTGTTCAAGTACCAGACCAGAAGTTAATATCTCACTATTTAGACACAGACTCGTCGATGGTGACATTGGAATGGCTCATATTAGATACCTGCAAAAGATGAATTGCCTTGGCCCTGAGCTGCTTAGTTTACCATCGAAATAGATAATCAGCAAGTACAATAACTATAACTGTCCATCTATAAGAACTGTAACAACTATAACTATACCAAATTAGTTGGGAAGTCATGAGTAAACTATCGATCCAAGGTTGCCTCACTATAACTATAATAACTGTCGATAGCCCACCATAGATTCAACAGTTTCATAAACTTTAGCGATCCAAACTTTTCCCAGTGGTTTTCCATTTGTTTCCGCCAAATTTCAAGGCCGACAAGGCCCGGGTTGAATAATGCCTCAGGGCATTTCCATCTCTCATCTTGCAACCTGGCGGCTGGTATCGGTGCTACGGGCCATGCTGCCAGCGGATTGCTTTCACCACATGGAGTTGTCCAAGATTGCAATCACGTGGGGGGTTCCATAAAAAGGCGGTACCCCAATAGCTGGATGGTTTATAATGGAACTTCCCAATCTAAAGTGGATTATTTAAATGATTTGCGGGTACCCCTATGACTTCGGAAACGATTTGTGGGTACCCCTATTTTAGGAAATCCCCATATATAATATACTGTGTATATGGCAGTTAAAACACCAGCTTGTTATGACCATGGCCACAGATATTGATTTTCACCATGGCCACAGATACAGCTTGTGGTGCCCCCCAGGTACAGCGGTGCAGCTGTTGACCCATCTACCTATGGATCTACCATGAACCCAAGCAATTTGGCGAACAAACATTACTGGTTCGTGGTTGAGCCACCCCTCTGAAAAATATGAATTCGTCAGTTGGGGTTATTCTTCCCAGTATATATATATATATATGGAAAAATAAAACATGTTCCAAACCACCAACCAGATAAATCCCGTTTTCTCTATGCATATCTCTCTCTCTCTCTAATTTCTTAGTTTTCCAGGGTCAGGGTAGAATAATTCCATTTTTCACAGGAACATCCTTGGTCGAGGCACGTGATGTTGTCACCGTTGGGCAAACGGAAATCTTTGAACTCCGCAACCCCCTCCCTTGGAACAACGCGGGGCCGGAAGGCCAAGTGAGGCAGCAAACATGCGGAGGGACCTAACATGAAATAGGGGTATTACCATCAATTATCCATCAAGAGAAGCGGGTTTAATCATTTTACAAGTGATTGTGAGGAGTATATACAGTATAATAATATATAATAATGACGAGGTTTTAAAAAACATGTGGTCTGGGAAGAATCATATGGCTGGAACATCCACCATTGGGATCTGATAAACTCGGAGAGTTTAGGGGAAAATCGTGCGCTCCCTAATGCAAACATGTGATGGGGTTCCCCGTTCATGGACTATGAGAATCCCCGAAATATTGGCCTCCGGATAGTATAATCTCATAAAATCTCCATATCATCAAGCAACCAGGGTTTTGAACACTGCCCATGTGTACATTTGACAATCTTTTGGACACATTGGCCCTGAACCGCTTGAGTTTTTTTACAGCTTCGCAAACTCGAATGTTCCCCTACAGGCCCTATGCAAGTGAGTTGAGTTATAACCCCAGTAGCGTTTTAAGCATCATAAGCCATAGTTATTGGAGTTATGTTCACCAACTTAGCTATCGTTTATTGGTGTATAAACCCCATTAAGTATAGATATATCATGATATATCAATATAATATCACCTATAAACCAAAGTTATTGGAGTTATAGACCAACTTAGCTATCGTTTGGGGGCCCCACTTTGTTTCAAGTTCTTTGGAAACATGACTGTTGCGGTGTGACAGTGTGAACTACCATTTTCACCAACACATGAGGTGACGTTACAGCAGAAATGTTGGTGCATTCTTGGGTGTCTTCTCATATACAAGACATCATATATTGTAAGTTTTGGCAGTGAAGCGATCATTTACCCAGATTCATAACATATATCAATACATTTATTTACTTGAGTTGAGGGTCGATTTACTTAACGTGGTAAACTCAACGAAAATTGACCATGCCAATTTACCGATGCCTCTTGTTGGATATATCATAAAGGATGCACAAGAACTGGCCAATCTCGGAAACCCATATAAATTTGGCTGGCTAGTAAATTTCCTCAATTTTTTAGTGTTCCGCCGGATTTGGGGCTTATGATTTTCGATTTTATAAATGCATTTTTTGGGTCACAGAGCAGGCTCAAAATCGTTTCCTTCCCGGAATTTATGCCATTCCTTTAAACAAAATGTGGTCAACAAATACCAGCCCTTTGTCTGGTGCTAATGATCCTTTCCCCCCACCATAAAATACCCTCCACTGTTCTGATTCCGGGGTATGAACAATATTTTAAGATTTGTATTAGCATTCGATACTATTCCCATTTCTAATTGGTTATATCTTTCAAAAGTAGCTATCAGATTCCCACAGTCTGGCCAATCTTATCCTTTGTTTCATCATCATAGATTGTATATTTCAAAACAAATAACATTTGATAAAAATATAAGACCAATTGTTTATAAATTCATATCATGTCAACCCCGGATTAATAAACCCCAAACGGCTGTTTAATTGGGAGGGTACCATAAAAAAGTATTAGAGTATGACTATTGGAGGAGTACCCCAATTAATAAACCATGGTTTATTAATCCAGAGTTGACATTACCGTCATTGAATATTATCAGCTTTGGGGGGTCCATTCTGCATTTTGAGACCAATTTCCTAGATCTATGGCCCTGTCATGGCAAAGTTGTTAGGACATCTCCAGGGTGGAGCAACCCGAACTGCATTTGGGTGTGGTCAAAGATACCTGGAAGTGCACTTTCAGTGAGTGGATGTATAACCATAGTTGGGTTTCATCTACACTATATATATATATATATACATACATAAGAGATATATATATATATCCCGACTTATGGAGTTTATTACCATGGTTATGCCAATTGGAAACCTCACCTGTACCCCTCCTCAGTAAACCTCTAACCACAACTGGCAATCCATGGGGTTTTCATTGGACTAACAGAATCTTCACCTCAGAAAAGTTGCAACACCCACAGCACAGAGAACTCCAATGCAGTCACCGGAACTCACTCGATGGATCTTGGCACACATAGCACAACTCCTCCTGCAGGTGCCGTGGTGGAAAAACCACTGAACAACCGACCATCTTTTTTAGGTATGAAATTCTTACTGCGATGTTGGCCTGTGTTATGTTTTGAATTTGGTTCTTCCATTCCGAAACATACTGAAATGGCAGTGCTTCTGAAAAAACTTTGCAACTTGATCTTTAAATTTGGCACAAAACACTTGGCGGACCAATCTGGCTGCCCGGCAGAACGATTTGTGATAGCACTTTGTTAACATGTCAAAAATCACTGAAATCAGATTCGAACTCCGAACGATGACCGTGTCCTTTGGACAGCACGGATGCACACAGCAACTGTTTGGCTTCAGCCAACCCCAGAAAAAATGAAAGGTAAAACAATGAAACTAAACCAACTCAAAATCCCAGTGACGATAAAAATCAGTTTCCATTTTACAGCTGTGATGCCTCCTCTGAAAACACATGATGCTTTTTGATTCACATTTACAATGCTGCCTTCACTTGGCAGCCGGAACGGTGTTAGGGTCATCCACACACACAGGCGAAAGTAGGGTCACACACACAGGCGTTTTCATTAATGAACCCACAACCACCATGAACACACACCACTTTATGTTACAGAGTTGTTGGAGGGGGTGGGGTGGGGTGGGGTGGCGCAATAACGTGCATGTTCGCTTGCAAACACACGCACTGAGCTGGGGTCGGGTCTCCGCTGTTATGCTCATTGTCTCCTTGGCAGTGCGTCTCGTGCTCCGTTTTGCCCTCTGGGCTGCCCGAATCCGGCAAAACGGACCTCCCCATGTGGTGTCTCTCTAGGGTGCTTCGTCTAGGCTGCTCAGCTGCCCAAATCCTCCAAAACGGACCTCTGCATAGGGCTCCAATGAAAAATACAATGAAGGGATGAAGCAAGTATGCTACATAGCGACTCATGTACATACATCTGTGTGCATGAATGTAGGTACGTGTGTATGTATGCGTCGCGTCTCTGTGTTGCTGTGTGTCGGTGCTATGTATCCCCGTGTGAGATATGATATGATATGATGTATGTGAGAACGCATGCATGCGCCACATACCACCCTTCATCAAGGTCAATTCTTTTGTGATGTATTGTTATGTAGTGTAAAGTTTCACCCCACCCTTCATCACAATTCTATTTGTCCGTAACTGCTTCCCAACTTCCTTTGATGATATGATGTATGTGAGAACGCATGCATGTGCGACCTCACCGCTATGCACACTTCTAGATAGCCAAATGCCACATATGAAGCAAAACGCATGCGTATGCGAACCCAAAACGCATGCGTGAGCGACCCTGCAAAACGCATGCGTGAGCGACCCCGTGACTGCCGGAACTCCCTGTCCGGTGGTTTCCTCATGTTGGGGGTCTTTGTCAACAAATGGCGCAACAACATGGCCAATCTCACAGGCGCTGGGAAAATCAAGAACTGCTAGTTGGTTAGGAAATGCGTCATCCAAACCACAGTTTAACCAACAACTTGCAACTTTGCAGTGCCCGGCAAACTTGGGCCATCTTGGGCCTGTCCTTCATCTGTCGAGCTGCGTGTTGCTGCTCCGTAGTTGTCAGGCGGCATTTGTTCTGACCAGGGCCGGAAGAAAACCCGATGTTGCAACCGGTGGCTTTCAGGAATGTGTCCCGCCTAGTGCAGGTGCTACAATAAGTCAACATTTTGACTTAAACAGTGCCGGCAAAGCAGCGCAAGGCACAAAAAAAACTTAGCAGCACAACTAGTTCTGAAGGCCTCTGTGGCCCAACCTGAAGTGGACAATGGCGGTTCTGGCGGCCCTGCTAATTTCGCATAGAAGTGGGTTCAAAACGGGGTTCTTTCAAGAGATTGGTTTTTTTGCGGCAGCAGAGTGAGGCCCCCTTGGCTGTGAATTTGACATGTACGTATATCACATAGACATGAAAAAGGTGCCTATATGTGTATAAATAAAAATAAGCAGTAATATGTGTATGAGAGTATATGGAGTACGGGCTTTTGCAAATATGATCGAAGGAAGTTTAGAAGTCAAACTTCCGACAATATGGACAGATGAAAAGCAGAGCAGGGAAGAGGCAGAGAGAAGAGGAAGATTGGAAGAAAGAAGAGTAGAAGAGAAAGAGTAAGAAGAAAGAAGATGCAGATGCGCGAAAAGGTAGGAAAGTCGCGAAACACTGTGTTTTTCCAATGATTTGGGGCTCCGGAGGGTCGAAAAGTAGGCTCGCTAAAGCGGCGGGTGCGGAGCCAGCTGGCCAGATGAGAGATGACAAATTGCACGCCGTTGTGGCGCGAAGCACATTTCGAAGTCAAAATGTACAAAACACACCAGGTCCGGACCACTTTTGGCAGTTGAGATGTCGAAAAAGTGCACGCCGTTGTGGCGCGAAGCACATTTCGAAGTCAAAATGTACAAAACACCAGGGGTTCGGACCACTTTTGGAAGTTGAGATGTCGAAAAAGTGCACGCTGTTGTGGCGCGAAGCACATTTCCAAGTGAAAATGTACAAAGCGCACCATGGTTGGACCACTTTTGGAGGTTCAGATGTCGCTTCGCTTCACTACACTACACTACACTACATTACACTACACTAGACTCCACTACACTACACTCCACTACAGTACACTACATTGCACAACACTACACAACTACACAACTACACTCCACTACACTAATTTACACTACACTACACTACATTACACTACACTACACTCCACTACACTACAGTACATTACACTACACAGCACTACCTTCCACTACACTTCTTTACATTACACTACACTCCACGACACTACAACTACAACTACAACTACTCAACTACACTCCACTACAATACATTCCACTACACTCCACTACACTAAATTACACTACACTACACTACATTACACTACATTACACTACACTCCACTACACTACACTACATTACACTACACTACCTTCCACTACACTTCACTACATTACACTACACTACACTCCACTACACTACAACTACAACTACGACTACACAACTACACTCGACTACACTCCACTACACGAAATTACACTACACTACACTACATTACGCTACACTACACTACATTCCACTACACTCCACTACACTACACTACATTACACTACATTACACTGAATGACACTGCACCACAGATAGACAGGTAGACAGGTAGACAGATAGACAGATAGACAGACAGACAGACAGATAGATAGATAGATAGATAGATAGACAGGTAGACAGCTAGACAGATAGACAGATCAAAGAGAGAGAGAGAGAGATAGATAGATAGATAGATAGATAGATAGATAGATAGATAGATAGATACATAGAAGATAGGCTGGTGGGTAAGTAGATAGTCAGAGAAAGAGAGAGAAAGAGAGGAAACCTCAAGCACCTTTCGGTCCATCAGTGGATTCGCTCTGCCATCCCTGGTTCACAACAGCCAACCTCTCCTATAGGTTTCCTATTTCTGAAACTTCCGCATATGTACGTTCTTGGCTGGGGCTATGATTGCAGTCCTCTGACTAAACTATGTTGACCTGCAGACTACACAGCGTCCTGCGCCAAGTTCGGCCAGGGAAAAAGTACCGAGGAATTCATGTTATGCCGGCATAAAGGAGTAATCAATTTTCTCTCTGGGAGCCCCTGAAAAATATATAGATCCAAAACGAAACCACGGCTTGGGGATGGATACTTAGCCTTTCAAAAATGACATTCTTTTGTAACCAGCGCAACTGGGGTCCATAGTAGATATTTCCACAGTTGCATGGCTTCACAAAGCCAAAACTGTAACTCGCGGGGCCCTTCCCATGGCCAAGCATAGGCACAGTGAAAAACAACAACTAGCAGGTTAGTAGATGGTGTCCCACAATATTATAAATTTGTTTATAA